GCGGGACGGGCGGTGTTTGAGGCGGGACGGGCGGTACGTGAGGCGGGGCGGGCGGTGCCGCCCCTGATGCGGGAGGGGTCTGCACGTGACGCGGGAAGGGCGGTGCCGCCGCGCGGGGTCCGCGAGGCGTGGCCGCGGTACGTGCGCTCCGCTCTCATTGGCCCGGAACCCGGAAGAGCCGGTGGCGCCTGCGCGGTGGTGCCGCCGGGAGAGCCCTGAGGAGATGGAGGCGGTGGCGCGGCGGCCGCGGGAGCGGCGGCGGGAGCGGAATGGGCGGCTGGAGCAGGGGGATGGCGGCCAGCCGCTCTCACGATCGCTGTCACTGTCGGGACAGTCCTACTGGCTGGACCTGTGGCTCTTCGTCCTCTTCGACCTGGCGCTCTTCGTGGTCATCTACTTGCTGCCCTGAGGGCGCGGACCCAGGTGAGGAGGGTCCCCGGGGTTGGCCGGGGGACAACAGGAGGGAGCGAAGGGAGCTCTGAGGGGCTGTGCCCGCGGAGGGAAGGCCCCCTGGGAGCAGCCGCGGCGTTCCTGCCCCGGAAAGTCCCACAGAAGGCCTGGGAAGCACAAACGCTTCTCAGGAAGTGGCAAATGAATTCAAACCAAACGCACAAAAGCACTGCAGAGATAACCGGGCCTTTTCTGTTTCCCGCAGAGTCGCTGTGTCGCCACGGGATGCACCTCGTAAACACGAACAGTGGAGGAGGAGGACCATTTGTGCGGGATAAGCAGCTGGGAACACGGCTCCACTTGCAGCTGGATGCAAGAGGCAGATATTTATAGTAATACCGTAATATATCTCTGTCTGTATCACAATATTACCACTACAGGTTTTTACCCGTGTCCTCTTTCTGTGCTCTAAACTGTGCCTTAAAGGTTGTGTAAGATGGATGGACTGTGCTTGTGTAATCAGTGCCTGAAGGTTTGTGCAGCAGAAAGGGAAGAAAGCACTGCTTGAATAAAACCCACTGAAAGGACACTCTGCAGAGTGGCCAAGAATAAAACCCTGCTCTTGCCTAGACTCAAGTGGTAACTCAGACCTGTTCCCACAACAGGTGAAGCTTAACCAGCTGTTTTACTTCCAAAAAGTTAATTGTGAGGGTTTGATGCTGTTTGGGTTTCTGTTACACCTTTCTTTCTTCTCTACCTTCAGCAGGTACTGAGCCTCCCCAGGGTATTTATATATATATTTATAGTAAGCTTTGTATCCAGTCACGTTTTGGAGAAGACAGTCTTCCAACTATGGATGAAGGGGGCTCAGTTTTCTTCAGTATTTTTCCCTTGAGAATGCTAGTTTTTAATTCTGAGAAGCACAGTTCATAGTTGGTTTGGGTTTTTTTCAGGAATAAATATAATAACTAGATTGCAGAGACTTTGAAGTGTAAAGTGTTTTGGTGTTTCCTAACACATTAAGTGAAAATGGGCCACTACACTGGGATCTGGGATGCAAAAGTGGGCACATGCTCTTTCCCTTTATTTTTCTTTCATTGTTAAAGACAAATCTGCCAGTGAGAGGGGCTTGTTTTATGTGTCAGACCTATGCTGTAAGAATGGAGATGCCCTTCCCTGCTGACACTTATGATTTTGGCTGCTGCTGCCTATGAAATCAGTCAAGCCTTTCAGAGATCTTGACTCAGGGTGCAGAAGAGCACTGAATTGTGATTCCATTCTCACAAGTAAAAAAATTAGTGAAATCCTCTAAAAACTGGAACCCTACTCTTTTTTCATTATTATTATATTTTATTTTTTTTTTCCCCTCTGGCATGATTTCACCAGGGAAATCTCAAGGGAACAACCTATTAAGCACTGCAGTGTTGCTCCATTTCTCTTTTGTTAAGGAAGACAGGGGATATTCAGCTTTATAGCCTTTAGAAAGTGAAATCTCAAGGTACCTTCTAGTGATTTAGTTTTCTCCTTCAGGCAGATCTGGCATCCAAGGTTTTACTTATCTCAGAAAACTTCAGAGCTAACAAAGTGCAGGCTTGTGCTGCACTGCGCTCAAGGTCTTTCACAGCACCTGGAGTTCAGGAATACACATATCCAGGAAAATTCTGCTTATCTCTCATAAAGGTGGAAAGAGAGCTGGTGTAACTAAATTAGTCATTTGTCACCAGATGTGAGGGATTATGGTATTAAAATTGCTTTATGCATTTCATGAGTATAAAAAAGTTTAACCTACATAACAGCTTTAATAAACAAATACTTCAGATTTTACTGTTCAAAAAAGGTAACTGAACCACCATCTCTGCAAAAACTTTCAAACATCAATAACAGCATTAACTTCAAAAATGTAGTTCTGGAAAGCCAACTTTTTTTTTAAATGTGGAGTGAAAAAAAAAAGAACAGACGCCAAAGATTTTAAATTTTTATCTTGATATTTTGAACAAGCAGAACTTCGCAAGAAAATAATTCTAAAGACTGAAAAATATATATTAATTACAAGACTTGTTAATATCTTTACTGTTACAAAAATTGTCTAGGCTCTTATACAAATCTATAGCCAGGAGGGGACATTTATAAAAAAATAAATAGGCACCCTAGGTAAGTTAAAACGAGTTATCACATATTAGTTAGCAAATATTACATACATACATACAGGGAGTGCAGAGTCAAATATAAAAACAAAGGTGCCTCGATTAGCTGTCTAGGGAGGATAATTAAATACCTGGTAAACATGGGGCACAGAGAGAGTTGTCTGGTGAGATTGTTTCAAGCCAAGCAAGGAGACTGAAGAACATCTAAGTCACTGCAGCTACTTCAGAAATGAGTTTACCAGTTGTGCTTCCTGGGAGCTGAGCTCATTGGTGTCAGTAATAGGCATTCATATTGCTCCTGGGACAGAAGTAGCAACGTTGCTATGCATGTTTAAAAATAAGTGTTCTAACATCATTCACAGTTGTTGCTGTGCTATTCATACATAAAAATACTGTCATTTCAAATACAAGATGATTTTTTTTTTTTTTTTTGCAAAACATTTTACAAATTGTACATTATTTACAAATTCCATAAATCTTGGGTTTTGTTTTTTTTTTTTTACACAAGTGTTAGAAGACAGCTGTACTTAACTGGCTATGTATACTATGTAACATGGCTAGATGAACTAGAAAAGTTTAATTTACAGGTTCTGAAATCTCTCTCAAAAATATTACAATAGGAATCACCCAAGTTCTTACATTTTTAGTGTTCTTCTGCATTCATCAACTGATTTTCTTACAAAAGGATCATTTTTTAAGTTGCTGTTTACCAGCAGCCATACCTAAACATGCATAGTATTTTCACTATAAATCCTTGAATTCATTTTTTTTTTCCCAAGTGCTACAACTAACTTTGATCAAGAAGGTAGAAATAAGGTTAATCTGAGATACCTGGTTTGTTGCATATATATAATGTTCCAGTTCTACTGTAAGTTGCATGTAATTTAAAAGAAAAAAACCTGACCTTGCCACAGAATAACCAAAAGTAACGTTTAAGTGTTTACCTTAGATAATTGTGCTAAACAATTGCCAACGTTTGGTTGGAGCACTAAAATTCATGTACATAAAGTTATTAAAAAAAAAAGCCTTTCTGACTAAAACAGTGCAAGTATAAGCAAGAGTGTTGCATTATTTTCATAACTAAAAGGCATTGATGATTTAGGTGTAATCAGCAGCACCCCAAGTTAACACTCTAATGTGAGTAATGGAAAAATTTAGCCTTTTTGGACTGTGTCAGGCTTTGCTGCCACTGCCTCAGCACACGCTACATAGTTCTGTGCACTGATTTAACTAACCAAATAAAAGCCAAATACATCCTCCTCTTTGTTACTGAGTCAGGTTAACAAAACACAAGGTAAATGCCAGAGCTGCCAAAACTGCAGGCAGTGACAGAGCAGAGAAGGAGGAACCTCTTCTTTCCCTGCCCCTCAGCCCCCACAGTCTGAAGGGCTGCGCGTTCAGCCTGGTCTGCTAATGCAGACCACACCCATGTGTAGGGTGGTTCCAAAGGGGGAGACACATCATTAAAAAAAAATTAATTAAAAAAAAAAAATCAAATGTGTGATCCCCATGAACCAATGCTCAAAATGTCAAGTTGGAAAAAAAGGGAAGCTTAATAAATAGCAGCAGTAACTTTGCACGCACTTGGAGGATAAATCAGAGCTGAACAGAAGCAGTAACTCTATCTAAAACCTTAGAAAACTAATCTTTCATAGTTGCATGATAACTCTGTATTTAAAATTAGCATCCTATTCTCTTATACCAGTTTGTAACTGATGTAGTTAAATTTAATAAGTTAAAGTGTATAGCTTATGGGGTGAACAAAATCTGATAAATGTGTTTAAAAACATAACACTAACATAGAGCAGGTCTATTAATAGGACAGTATTACTGCAGTTTACTTCAATTCCCTTTGAAAGTCTCATTTAGCATTTGCAAACCAGGATGGTTTTTAAAGGATGATTATTATTAAGGCTTTTCAAATAAAAAATAAATCCTCTGGGTAAACTTGTATTAAAGACACTTGAAGGTTTGTGTAAGCACAGACTCTCAGAGAAGTCAGTTGAAAAAACCGCGTCATCTCCTGCCACCTCTCAGGGCAAATAATACTCTATTATTTAGAGTATTTACTGCATTTTATGTGGTAGTACGTTTATCCCTTTTGTTAGTCTAAGTAGGTAGTGACCACAGTCTGAAGGAGCACTTCTTAAACTGCAACTAATGAAATCTTCTTACAGATTTAGTAACGTCCAGTCGATCCCACTGCTGTAAGATGCGCACACCCCAAGGGACCATGTTTAGTACAAACTGTAGAAGACAAGCTGAGTAACAGAGGTAAGCATTAAGGCAACTAGAGTAACAAATCAAAGAACCACAAGTTTAGCACCTCTTCTCCTCCAATTTGCATATTCATTTGAACAGTCCTAACTCCCAGGCAAAGTACGGTCAGCTGGGTACCTGGTTATCACACACACACACATTCAAGGTTTGTGCCCGTTCACAGACTACATGAAATGCCAAAGTCAGATCCGGGTGTGGGGTTTTTTACGGATCTATCGGCTGCAGTGGATGCCTTCTGCATTTGCCTTGTACCTCGGCTCGGGATGCCTGGGTTCCAGGGTGGCGTGGTATGTAGCGTTCAGTTCTACCCCAGCTGCCGGAGGATGCTTCTCCTTGGGAAAGCTCCCGCTCTCCGTAAAATACAGCTTGGGCCTCTGGTGGTACTTCATCCTGTAGGTGTCAGTCATGCAGCTGTCGACTGAGAAGTAGGTCGTTAGGGACACGCTGTCGTTCCCGTCCACGTAGCCAGGACTCGGCCCCGTGTGACGGGATCCTTTCTTTAACAAGTTCTCAGACACGGTCCAGAAGTCATTGACTGACAAGCGAGGTGGAGAATCCGGTTTGTGGACAAACAGTTCGTTCCCCGGAAAGGGCTCTTTCAGCCTTTGTTCTGGTGGGAGTACACTTGGTTCTGGTGCAGGTTTTGGAGGTGCACCCGTTGGCCTCAGTGGATTACTTTGCAACGCTTCCGTGGGTTTTACGTCCGCTGCCAAGTTACCCTCTGATCCCGGCAAAGCGTTCAGAGCGTATTTCTTGGGTGGCAGAGGGGGAGGGACGTTCTGGTACACCGCTTCAGGCACCCAGAGGGCATCCCCCCTCCGCAGCGGGTGCCCGGCGTGCTCAGCGGGAGGGGCGGGAAGCACCACGGCCCTCTCCGGCAGGGACTGTGGCACACAGGGCGCCAAGCCCACCTTGGGACCAAGCGTTCTTGTGTGATGAGACTGCGGCTGGGCGGGGGGCACAAAGTCACTGTGGAGCAGCTTCCTGCCACAGGCGTTCTCGGGGTAGGGGTGGGATATGCCATCAGGACAGAACACTGCCACGTTCACCTTCTCAAACCTGTCCGGGTGAAGCCACTCTGAAGGATTCTGTCCGTTCGCCTTGTTCCTGCTCTCCGACTTCACAATGTCTTTGACAACTGGCTGTAGAGCTGATGAGGGGAAAAATTTCTTGTTGGTCTCAGGCATTTCAGCTCTAAAATACAAAACCACAAAAGATGTAAGTATCCCTAAAAACATATGAAGAGGTTCAAATAGCCCAAGGATTTTTTCAAAGACAGTCTTGGTAAAACTGCCTAAATATTCAAACTGATGAGAGAACTGGAATCTGTTTAACTTACAGCCATTGATTAAAAGTTGTATTAAATTACTCCAAGGTTTCTTTCATTTGAAATGTAAAGCGCCCCCCAAAAAAATCTCTGCAAGAGATGCAAGGTAAGAAATTCCTTCAACATTCAGGACTATGTCAAACACGACCTCTGCTCTCTTCTTAGCATCCTTGTGACTCTGATACATCCAAATATTGGATGTTACTTTTGCCTGCTAAATTTGTGTTTAGATTCTTGATTGTCAAAACTTTCAATACCTTAGCTTTTCAGTGCTTAATATTGATTATTGTAACATAACAGAATTCAATATTTCTTAAACTATTATAGAGTAAATGATGCCAGTATTAATTACCTCTTTACTGGAGGACTGGGCACCTGCAAATGTATTTCTGTTGGGAAACCAACATGAGGTCTGTAGGTAACTTCAGAATTGAACTGGTCTTTCCTCAAATCTGGGGGTAGAAAAAAAAAGGTGTTTCAAAATAAGCACATATACAGTACAATTTCTTCTTTGTAATTGCTCAGAGGTTACAAAAACAAACAACACACAACACAACAGGACAATTAATGCCTTTCAAGGTTTGAGATTAATCAAAATAGCCATTTTGAAGACAATCTGTCACAGGTGGCCAGATCTTACCTTAATGCTAAATAATCGGAGGAAATTTTCGGGGTTTTTTTGTTACCAGAAAATAGGTAATTATCACAATTTTGAAGTCCTATAGACACACTTTCAGCATCACCCTAATATTTAATCTTACTAAAAGCACAGTTTCAAAAGCAGCTTTTTATTAAAGCATGCCTGCTTATTCAAACATCTGAAGTCATTTAAATTACAAAATAAAAACTATTTATGAAGTCTTAAATTTCATATCACGTAATAATCATTAAATTGAATGAATATAGGGATTGGGGACGTTTTAGGGGGTTTTTTTTTTGT